ATCAGTTCCCTCGATCTGCTGGCAACATTCCTACCAATGCAGCCCAGTATGCCATTAGCCTTCTTCACAACAAGGGCACACTGCTGGCTTATATTCAGCTTATTGTCCACTTTAACCCCCAGGTCCTTTTCTGGAGAGCTGCTGCCCAGCCTGTACCAGTGCATGGGATTGTTCCATCCTAAGTGCAGGACTTTTCACTTGTCTTTATTGAACCTCACGAAATTTCTTTGGTTCAATCCTCCAATTTGTTGGGGGTCTCTCTGAATTCTAGGCCTACCCACCAGTGCATGTACTACTCTCCCTAGCTTGGTGTCATCTGCAAACTTGCTGAGGGTGTGCTCCATGCCAACTTCCAGGTTATTGATGTAGATACTGAACAAAACTTGCCCCAGGACCAACCCCTGGGGCACTCCACTTGATCCCAGCCACCAACTAGACATAGAGCTATTGACTACTACCCTCTGAGCTCATGTTCCAGCCAGTTTTCTATGCACCTTACAGACCATTCATCCAATCTGTACTTTCTTAGTTTGCTTGCAAGAATTTTGTGGAAGACTGAAACAAAAGCCTTGCTAAAGTCAAGGTATATCAGGTCCACTGCTCTTCCCGTATCCACAGAACGAATCATCTCATCATAGAAGGCAAGCAGATTGGTCAGGCATGACTTGTCCTTGGTGAATCCACACCAACTGTTCCTAATCATCTTCTCTCCTCCTCCAAGTGCTTAAAAATGATTCTTTAAGGACCTGCTCCATAATTTTTCCAGGGATTGAGGTGAGGCTGACTGGTCTGTAGTTTCCTGGATCCTCCTTCTTTCCATTCTTAAAGATGGGCACTATATTTTCCCTTTTCCAATCATCAAGGACCTCTCCCGATGGCCACGAGTTTTCAAAGATGACAACCAGTGGCTCTGCAATCACATCAGCCAACTCCCGCAGTACCCTTGGATGCATCGTCCGCCCACCCCCCCCACACTGGGGGGCTTTGGTGCCTATCACTTTCCCTGTGCTATTGCAAGGAGAAGCAGCAGCAATGGCTGGGTCCTACTGCCTGCCTCTGACCTCAAACAGGAAATTCTGGCCCATAGCCTGAAAAGGCTGCCAACTACTGATCTGGAGAAATCTGAAAAACCATTCTGGACTAAGAAACTGTTCTGGACCAAGGTGTGGCAAATGAATCTTGGGAGAAAAACCTAATGATGCACTCCTGTAACTTTATGAAGACAACAAATAGACCATCCGACTCTTAAGAAGTTAGGGATGTAAGGGTAGACAGAAGTTAACCAGACAGAATCAGAGAACCTGACATCTTAAAAAAGGATTCTGAGGATCATTTTTCTTTCCTTTCTTATTTAATATGGAATTTAATCCCTCTCTGGATCTTATGTTTGTTGTTGGATATATGCGAGTTTCCTGCAACAAATGGTAACATGCTAGATATTAATTTTTTTCAGAGATAAAAATGGTTGATCTGCCACAAAATAGTATATCCAGGACAAAAGTTGCTGGGATAAACTTAATGTCTGGTCAGGTCTTAGACTCTCTTCCCACTACCTCACAGTGGCCTTCTCTCCCCCCAAGGAGGAGGGAAGGAGGGAGGGAAACCTGCAGACTGCCCTGTTCCTCTTGCAGCCTAAACTTGAGCAAGATCTTTATTCTGTCTCTGGTCACTTCAGATCTGGTAGATGGTCCAGAACAGCATAGAGGGGCTTTCAAAATCCAGATCAGGCCACTAGAGGTAGTCTTGAGAACAGAAAGAGCCAGGTCCCTTGACAAGAACTATGGAAGCTTTCTTTAGAAAACCTCCTTGCAAAGTCTGGCAAAGGTGTTTTATGAAGGGCAGGGCTGCAACACAAAGCTTCACTCAGACTCTGGGTAGCACTGCAGCTTGTGGAGATGAGGAGAGAAAGAGAGAGGCACTTTGGACTGTCTCTGCTACACAAGGGACTGCCAAGCAGCTCAAGATTTCCCAGTAAAGGTGGCTGAAAGCCAGTAGAGCATCTCCACATTCTCGGCTGGTTCTTTTCCAATTCTCTTCGTTACCCATTTGGGTTCACAAAACTCTAGAGATATTTCAGTCGAATGTATCCTTGACTGGCCCAAGATGAGTAGATAAACTGGTTCTTTTTTTTCTTGAAGACTAGGAAATTTCTGCCTCTCATTTAGAGAGATTACTGTCTCCTGTGTCTTTCGTTGGATGGGCCTGCTCTCTCTCTGTCAAATTACAGGATTACCAATCTCGTTCTTTGTATATGCATATTTTTTTTATGTTTCAAAAAAACAGACCCAGTCTGCTGGTTGTACAGCATCTGAAGGCACTAGCTCCCCACTTTTCATGGAAAGAAGGAATATATTTAGTGCTAAATTGATTATAGGGACATGCGGATCCTTCAAATATTGGTAAAATTCTAAATTCAGCCATGAATTCAACAGTCCAATATTACATATACTTAGGGTTACCATACTTCTGGGTTTTCCCAGACATGTCCTCTTTTTGAGCCCTCTGATCTCCATCCAGGCGGGTTTTTTTAAATCTGACAAAGTGTCTTGGTTTTTCCTTTGCTCTGCTGGTGGGAGTGGGGAGAGGGCAATCAGAGGCAGCAGGGAGCACAGACATAGCTTCCTGCAGCTCCAGAGGCACGTACAGACCCATGTGGTGCTCCCTGCTGCCTCCCATTGCCCTTCCCCTGCTCCCATCCCCGGGGCAAAGGATAAACCCAGATATATGATCAAGGCATAGGGGGAGAGGGGGAGTGGCAAGGAGGGAGAGCAGGGGCTGTGGCTGCAATAGGGCAGGAGGGGTGGGGTTGCCTGTTCTCCAGCAGGGGAAAGAGGTGGAGGGGCCTTTAAGGGCAGCAGGGAAACCTGTGGCCAGGCCGGCGGCACAGGGGCTGGTGCCTGTGCTTGCAGGGGCTGAGCGCCAGGAGATTCTGGGAGTGGGGAGGGAAGGGGGCTTCAGCCAAGCTGCTTGGCATGGCACAGCACCTCCATTCCAGGGCAGGGGGCACCACAAGCCTCCCCTCCTCTTCCCTCCAGCCCATGCTGGGGCCAGATACAGTCCGCCGCTGCCTGCATGAATCAGAGTCACCATGCTCTGGCCTGGGCAGGCCCCTCTGGCAGGGCTGGGGGAGCAGGGGGCTGCGGGTCGGGAGTGAGGGGCACTGACAGGGCTGGGGAGGGCTGTGGCTTGGGAGTATGGGGCACCAGGGTGGAAGCAGGGGACTATGGGTTGGAAGTGCGGGTCAATGCCAGTGTCAGGGGGTTGTGGGTCTAGAGTGAGGGGCACTATCATGACCCAGGGGGGCAGGGTACTGAGGTTTGGGAGTGAGGAACAGTGGCAGTGCTGGGGTCAGTAGGTTGGGAGTGAGGGGCAGCAGCAGGACTGGTGGGGGCTGTGGCTTGGCAGTGAAGGGCAACAAAATGGGCAGGGGCAGAGCACTGGCATGCCACTACCCCTCACCGTCATATTCCCCCTGCCCCCACATGACAGGTGTCCTCTTTTTTGGACCTGGAAATATGGTAACCCTACATATACTTTTCCCACCATTATCACGCAATGAACTTCTCCTCAAAAACATGAATGTAGAACAAAATGCTGGGTCTTAAATTTGTAATAATAGAAGAGAATGAAGGAACCAAAGATTATGTTCCATCAGTCACATTTCACATTGTTCTTCTTGTTTAGGGCTCAATCTATGATCTTTATAATCAGGATCGATCCAAATCAATTTTCAGTTTTGTATTTGTGCAGTTGTAAATTAAGCATTCTTAATTAGACTGGGCAAAGCTGCGACAACAGCATCAGCTTTCACTGTTAAACCATTTTAAAAAATCCTTCAATTGTTTTTCTATAAGGTTAGTGTCTTTAGTTAAGCCTATCATTGTAAAAGAACAAATAGCCCTAAACTTATTTTCACAGTAAGGTTCTGGTTAACCCAGGACTCTACACCCAGTAATAGCTTCCCTTAATACTGCTGCCATTACTCCACTCACTGAAAATTACACCTAAGCCTCCATTCTCAGACATGGTAGCCACATTACTGCTCCAGATGATAGCGTATGGGAGAAGATAGAACTACTTTGCAAAATAAACTTGTTTACAGTTACTCACTCTTGGAGACTCACAAAAGCTCCAAGGAATTAGGATAGTTTTGGGCTGCATTAACTTTTTGGTTTGCATGTTAAATGTGATGTTATTTTTGTTTGGCCTATATGGATATATAATTAGAAATAAAATAGTACGCAATATTTACAATTTAATTCTCATATTTTGTAAAGTAATACAAAGTACAGAAATTTCAATCATTTTCTATAAATGATTCTGGTCTCAACCAAATGCAAGTAACTGAAATGCATAGTTATCACATGCATGCAATTATCAGAAAGTATAAAGAAGTACAAGAAGGTAGTTTTGAGGTCATACCACTGTTAAAGTTTCCATAAAAGGCAAGGAAGAGTGGCACCTTATAGACTAACTTGCTCAAAGGATTAACAAATCAACTAATTCTCTGAATTAGAATCAACTAAACAAGTAATTATCTGAATTAGTCTATAAGGCCTCTGGCAGACACTACATTAAAGACGTGACTAACCAGTTAATCATGTCTTAAGTAGTAACCCGGGGACATGTTCATGCAATTAATGGGGCAATAAAACAAGGAACAAACCACAAAGTTATTACACAAAATACGCGTAACAACTTTGTGGCTGGTTCCCATTGCACCTTTAACTGAATGTCTGCCAGGGGTCAAAGGTGGCACTCTGCCCAGCTTTTGGCATGATTTTAGACTAACACTGTAAGCTATTAACATAAGAAGTGCTATAGTGGGTCAAGACCGATGGTACATCTAGCCCAGTATCCTGTTTCCAACAGTGGCAGAAGTGGATGCTAGACAGGGAGGGCACTGATCCACATAATTCAAGAGTGAAACTACCTCTCTCTGCTTAGAGATTCTAGTTAAACTTATTCTTTACAAACTAACATACTGGATATTTTCTTACCAATGAAACCCAGCTGAGAAAATTCTAGAATCATCCAATCTTCAGAAGCAAGCTGAAGTGCAAAATTTTTTATTGTGCTGAAATAATTTTGTTTGACAACAATGTCATCTTCAAGCTAGGGAAAAGAAACACTTGTATTACTGCAAAGCAAGAACAACAAAGCAAAAAGAAATATATACATATCTATATATCTCTATATATATTCAAAAGTTTATATTTCTATCATTCATCTATTCATAGATTTTAAGTGGAATCATCACCATAATACATATTCGGGTTTAACAGGAATTAATATTGCAGAAGGATTATCATGTTCTACGTACTTGAGGAAAATTAATCTAAAACTTTTTACAATAAAACTTCTGGAATATCTCCAACCATTCTGGAACAAAAAGAGGAAGAAAAACCAGACCAGAAGGAAAAGCAAACCAGATTTTCTTAAACTTCTTTTTATAAATGTATACCATATTTTTCCAAATTCAAGACACCCTTCCAATAATTAGATACTATGGATGAAAATGTTATACATTTTTTTATACTTTCCAATGCACAGAATATAATTTTGAGGATCATCTTTAATTCATCCCCCCAGCACCACTGCAGTGGGGAAAGAAGTGGCAGAGGGGCCAGCAGCAGTGTAGGGGAGGCAGTGGGGGGCTTGACCCCTGCCTCTTGTCCTCTTGACCTTGTCCCTTACCATCTACCCCCACCAATAAAAGATATTAACAAAAAGCCCTTGATTCTCAGTAATAGTGAGGGTATTTTTAACTATTTCTCCAAGCTCTTCTTTCTTCACAAGTCTATTGCCCAGACAGGATGTGCTCGGGATTGCAGCTCTCATGAATGTTCTTTTTATTTCATTGCTTATTTATAAGTCTACAACTAAATGAAATACAAGTTTATAGAAAGAGTTTAATTTGATTGCACTGTTTGCTTCATTTTGCACAAAAACAGAAATTACATGCAATAAGATTGAGAGAACATAGCAGATAAGGTCATATATTCTATGAATGGCCTGCCCAATGTTATAACATATGATGACCTCTAAATGTACATGAAAAGAGGAAAAAAAAGCAAGTGAATGAAGTAATATAATGAAATCTCAACACTGATATTTTTATTTTTCATTTAATTACTGTCATTAATAAAATTAAAAACTAGCACTCTTGCATTTTGACGCTTTTCAAAGGCATTTGGAGCACTTCAAACAGCATGTCTGCCCAAAGCATTATTTTAACTTTGCCTCCCTGCATATAGATTTAAAAAAATCACATTCTTTGATCAGGTGTTTTTTTGTACATCAGAAGGAAAAAAGTGCTGGAAGCACCCAAAGCATCAGATATTGCTTGAAAAAAATTTGTTGTAACAATCACAATTGCAACTCCCCCCTCCAAAATATATAATAATGTTATTGCTGTTCTATTTAAGGTGGGTTTTTTTATGTGCTCATCACCATAGTGTCTGAGGCTACTTTGAATATTTTGCTTGATACATCAAAGAAAAGTAATTTACCTGAATATAATAGATGCCCTTTTTCTGGGCATACATCATAAGAAAGCAGTAGTCTAAGTTTTGCTTTGTTCGCCATCTGAAATGAAATTATAAAAAAATGAAGGAATTATTAAATAAAATGAATATCTGTACACAATATGTAATTAATTGTTTTCCAAAAGGCTGCATATTAGTTGAACATTAGGCAACTGTATTTGGCTTGATTCCCGCAGGAAATCCTCTATCTGAAGTGGGACAAAACTTCCCCTGTGTGTTGCAATACAGAAAGAGGACTGGCTTAATTTTAATCTGATCTCTTGAAGCTATCTGAGGTTTACTAAAATATATTGGATATTTCAGATGGATACTAAACAATACTACCCGTTTTTCAGATAATGTTTATTCTTGAAAGCATGAGGGAAAATACTAAATAAAAAAGGACAACTTGATGCAACAAAAAATGTACCAGTTGCTATATTAAAGGGTCTTCTTAAATTAAATCCAATAAAACTTAATATTCAAGCTCTGATCATGCTAAGCAAACCACGCAGGCAGGGCTCCACCTGAATTCATGGGTCACTTTGTTCAGTTCTCTTTGCATGATGGGGGGTCCTTAATCTCTGTATAGTTTCAAGAATACAGGAAGAAAAAAGTTTCATAGTTTCATAGTTTCAGGGTCGGAAGGGACCTAATAGATCTTCTAGCCCGACCCCCCGCCAGGGCGGGAGAACAACCCAAAAAAAAAAACAAAACCACTCACCCTAAAAACAAAAACGGGACTCAAATGAGTCCAGCCAGGTAAGTATCCAGCCTCTTCTTAAAGATCCCCAGGGTAGGGGCCAGCACCACCTCCCTTGGAAGTTGGTTCCAGCTCCTAGCCGCCCTAACTGTGAAGTAGTTTTTTCGGATGTCCAATCTGTACCTCCTCTCCATCAACTTGTGCCCATTACTCCTTGTTATGCCAGCGGGGGCTAGGGGAAACAGCGTCTCCCCCAAACCCTTCTGGTTCCCCCTAGTGAGTTTATAGACGGTCACCAGGTCCCCCCTCAGCCTTCTCTTGTGGAGGCTGAATAGGTTCAGGTCCCGCAGTCTCTCACTGTAGGGTCTGCCCTGTTGTCCCCGGATCATGCGGGTGGCCCTCCTCTGGACCCTCTCCATGTTGTCCACATCCCTCCTGAAATGGGGCGCACAGAACTGGACACAATACTCCAGCTGCGGCCTGACCAGCGTCGCATAGAGGGGGAGGATCACCTCCCTGGCTCTACTCGAGATGCACCTGTGGATGCACGACAAGGTCCGGTTAGCCCTGCCAACCATGACCTCGCATTGTCGGCCCATGTTCATCTTGGACTCAATAATGACACCAAGATCCCTTTCCGCCTCCGTGCTCTCAAGTAGGGAGTTCCCCATCGTATAAGTGTGCTGCTGGTTCCTACTACCCAAGTGCAGCACCCTGCACTTGTCCGTATTGAAACGCATCCTGTTCCTGTCTGCCCACCCCTGTAACCTATCCAGATCCTTCTGCAATCTCTCTCTCCCTGCTAGCGTGCTCACCTCCCCCCAAATTTTGGTGTCATCAGCGAATTTAAACAGGTTGCTTTCCACCCCAACATCAAGATCGCTGATGAAGAAATTGAACAGCGCAGGCCCCAGGACCGAGCCCTGGGGGACTCCACTACCCACCTCCCCCCAAGTTTCAAAAACTTATACCCAACCACATACAGCAGAAAGTTCTGAGAGGAACATTCTTACCTGACTCTCTCTTTTGAATCTCCAAATGTCTCTTTTAAGTTTGTCAAGTCAGGATAATAAGTTGCAGGAGGGGATATTACTTCCACCAAGCCAGAATTGATTTCTGTAGAAAATCTGCCATCAGAAAAGTCAACTGAGTTATTTTAAGTGCTGTGAAACTTTATTTATTTATTATTGGCGTACCTACCAATGTCTGACATAATACATAGTTATAATCATTTGGAACAAATGCATAATGCTATTTTCACAATATGTTAGAATGAACTGTTTTTTCTACTTACCTTAGGGTATGCATGGTTTTTTATGTGAAAATAATATTCTTAATGTATGTTGACAGAATAATACAGTTCTACAGATTTTTTAAAATCAAGCAATGAAAGGAAGAATGATATAAAAACATTAGTTCCTTAGTAAATTTCTAGACCAGGACATTCTCTTGCCCATAAAAATTATTTTAACTATGATGTAATTATATAACGTCAATTGTTCAAAGAGCTGAACTTTCCCTTCTACAGTTCAGTTTGGATATATATACACAAATGTAAACAAATAGTATGAATGCAGATGTCATGAAATCCGTTTATGTCAAGCCAACTCAATCCATTTATTTCATGCCAAATCCATTTAATCCCATTTACTGATTTACAGTTTAACCTGCTTAATTACTGCTGCTTAGTTTGTCTTCATGGGCTTATTATTTCAACCAAAACCATTAGAAAGGAAGCAGGTAGCTAAAATTTTCCAGTATATCACCGCTTTTCTTAGAAGAATAAAAAACAGATAAGTACATCCCAACTTACTCTTTTTCCAGGCTTGCTACAACACCCTGGACATAATCAAGATCTGTCTGAAAAAAAGGGAAAGAAAAAGGAAAAAAAATAAGAAGCAGTTTGGGAGCCAGCTGTTTCAATAGCTATCTTAAAGAGACTTGATTGATAACTCTTATCAAAGCATACAAATAATGCAGAAGGAATTGCAGATATGACTACAAAGAGCATATTTTTAGTGTGTGGTGTAAGAATGGTTGTGCAAAATGACACGAGAACCAGCCTAAAAGAATTAAAATAAGCAACCTTTAATTTTTTTAAGCCTATCAAGGCACTTAAAAACTTGTAAAGCATTCCTACACAATGGAGAAACTGTTATTTTTTTATGTATATATTTTTTTAAAATAATACAATTTTGGCGTGGTATATTTCCATTCTATTAATGAAGTATAAATCATTTGGTATTTAGATCGCCAAATCTCTTCCACATTCTTTGTATGAACTAAATATTGGGATTTAACTACTAAACTTATACACGCTTTCCTGAAATCAGGATGCTTTCCTGAATCAGGGCCTAAATCCTAAAAGAGGTAAGTTTCTCCTGTTATTTTCTTAATGATATATTAAATAATTTCTATTTTTTAAACAGACATAACATTCAACCTTTACCTTTTACAAAAGTAAACGTCCACAGTGTTCTAAATCTAGCTTATTATATACCGGGGTGGACAATTATTTCAGCTGGAGGGCTGCTTAGCAACTTTTGGTGAGCTGTCAAGAGCTGCAAGGGTAGCCCTGCCTCTTGACAGGTGCCCCACCCCCTGGTCGCCATCCCGGGACTGGAGTCCCACTCCTAACCCCTGACCCTTGCAAAAGCCCTTCCCTTGCCCCCAGAAGTATTCCTTTTGGGAGGTGGTTTGCTGTCTTGGAACTGGAAAAAAAAACAAATCATATACTAAAAATCAACATCTAGTATAGCATATTTTAATTTTATTTCAAAAAATATTTTTGTCCCCCTTTGTGTGTGTTTACATAGTGAATATAGAGGTGATGGTATAATAACTCAAAATAAAGTTTACTCTTGTATATTGTGTGTAGGAGGTGTGTGGGGGAGTGTGTGGGGGGGCTGGTAAGGGGGTGTGGGTGTGTGTGGGTTGGTGGGGGGCTGGGTGTGTGTAGGGAGGTGTGGTGGTGTGGGTATGCTGGGGTGTGCATGTGAGCCCTCGGGAGGCTCATGGCCTGCAGCAAGCGGAGCCTCCCAGTGGTACGCGGCTCCAGCCGAGTTCCAGGAGCTGCACATGGTAGCAGGGAGTCGACCCGGCCAAATGGTTCGTGACTCCCCAGTGAAGTGCCACAAGCTGCAGGGAAGTTGTGTACCATAGGGCCAGGTCAGCTCTGTCTGCCCATGGGGCTCCCAGCACTGCAGCAGGGAGCCATATTGTGGAGGCACAGAGCCACCCCAGCCCAATGGTGTGCAGCTCCTGCCTGCAGTGCCAGGAGCCCCACACGTGCTGGCATGGAGGCAGTCCGGCCTGCCCAGTGCCATGCAACTCCCAAATGTAGTGCCGGGAGCCCCACATGCTGGCACAGAGCCAGCTCGGCCTGATCATGCATGGCTCCCTGCAGCTCCTGGCTGGAGTGACAAGAGCTGTAGGGAGCCATGCTTCATTGGTTCAGGCTGACTCTATGTCACCACATGTGGCTCCCAGCTGGAGTGCTGGGAGCCTCATGGAAGTGAAGGCACAGTGCTGGCCCAGCCTGGCCTGGCAGCATGCAACCTCTGAAAACCCATGCATCCTGCTAACTTTCAGAGAGGCAGCCACGGGCTGGTAATAATTGTCTTTTGGAGGGGCCCTGCAGGCCAGATAGACTGGCCTGGCAGGCCGGATCTGTGGACTGTATTTTGCCCACCCCCATTATATAACCTATTTTTCTGTATATTCTTAGTCCTCCTGGAAAAGATTGGCCTTTAACTTTCACATAAATTATTTTTTATTACAGCTGTTAATCTAATAATTTGGAGCACTAGTTATCAACTTTCCAAGGAAATAATTTTTACCCTGTAAGATATTAAAGCAGATTTTAGTCATTCATCAGAATAATATATACACTGATTCTTGTTGGGTGTATTTCAATAATGGAAACAAAGGGATAATTCATATTCTCCTTTTGATGTCTCCATAACTCAGATGTCCATTAATGTTCACTGAAAGGAGTAGCTTTAATGCTATTTGGTTAAATTATTACCCTTTAATCTTCATCCACATTTCTATTCAGAAAATTTGTTTTAAAATAAAAGTACATTATCATGCCTAAGAAAAGACAGTTTGAAATGCATGAGAACATATTTTCTCCTTAAATAATTCTGGGAGAATACTTTAAAAATGTGAACAGGCTAAACAGGCCTGTAAGCCTAACTTACCAAGTTAACTCTTGTTTACTTGGTAAGTGCTGAAAATGCTCTTGGTTTTTTTCAGGAGTAAAGTTTTAAAAGACTGTCTAAGATCCTGGCATAAGTCCTTTAGGCCTTAGCATGAATTCATCTTGTGTTAACACAGCTTTTTTATTTAAGAGCAGAACTGTTGTGCAACTTGTTTTTAATTTCTTAAAAATATAGTGTAAGTGCATTACTGCCCAAGTCATTATGTTAACCAATTCCAAAATTATAAAAAACATCAACGATAAAACTATTACAAGCTTTACTACTTATGAAAAGTTGAGGTTTTTCTGCATAGAACGCCCCAGGCCTGATGCCATCAAGTGACAAATTTTAGAAAAAGATGCCAACAATCTTTGCAGACCCTGTTTCTGGATTCATATGATTTTCCTTATAAGACAGAAGACCCCTTAAAGCAGAGGTGAGTGTGGCGGTCAAGTGGTAGGCCAGGGCTATGGCCAGTAGCCCGAAACAGCAGGTGGGTACTTTTTGACAGATGGAGCGGAATTAGGCACTGAAGCGTATTGGTTGAACAAAGAAATTATTTACTTATGCCATCGGTGTACACAGCGCAGGAAGAAGAAACTGACTTAGGTTACAGTTGCAAACCGAACAAATGAAAGCTTCCTGAGAGATGAGATGTCCGTGACCGGCTGAGCAAGCATGCAAGACGAAGTGGGGGTACATCGGGTAGGTCGTTGACGGGGAGCCCCTGGTAGATGATCAGTCCACCAGGTATTCTCAGAGATATATGCACGGAGTTCGAGCTCTCCGAGTTCGCTCTCTGAGTTCTCCTTCTCCGGGGTGTGTGCGGAGTGCTCCAACCTGGAGAACAATGTGTTCTCCAACCTGGAGGAATATGAGGAGTTCTCCAATGTGGGCGGAAACTGATCTAACTTTTATATGACTAACAAGCCAATCGCTAGTCACCAATATGAATAATTTGGAACTGGCCAATGGTGGTGTGAGTGTTTGCATAAGTTTTGGCGGGAACTTTTTCTAAGCTGTAACTTTCCATTACTGTGGCAGAATTTTCCCACTATGACCTACTTTTTCCTTGTGACCCACTTTAATGATTGACAGCAGAATGTTCCACTATGGATCAAACCAAAGGAATGTTCCACTGTGCCATAGGCATACAACTATTTGGTTTGACAGTGAGATAATACAGCCCGCAGGCCAGATCTGGCCCATGGAGGGACTTTGTTTGGCCTGTGGTGGGTCCCTCAGTTCCTCCTGGCCCGGGTGCCGTTTGGTCCATGGTGCATCCCACCACCCCCTGGCACGAAAGCAGGGCCGAAGCGGCTCTGCAGCTGGATTGCATTTCTAAGCAACCCAGGGGGTGGTGGCTTTTTCCAGCTGCTGCCACCACTGGCCCACCCCATCGTACTGTTGGGGACCTTCATGCACAGCCCTGATCCCAGCCCACCCTGTGCCCACTCCAGACTCATGCTGGCCAGAGTGCACCAGGCCTGGACCAGCTGGAACCTGTGCGCACAGCCCCAATCCTGGCCCACCCCGTGCCTTCTCCAAACCACCTGTCCATGGTGAGCAGTGGCAACAGCGGTGGCAGCCAGGCAGAAGCTGCTGCTAGGCATGGGGGAAAGGCAGCTGCCTCCCCCTCACTGGTGCTGGGCCTTTCTTGCTGCAGCTGCCTGGAGCCTGCCCCTGGGCTGCCCTCCACCGCCATCACCAGGCCACCCAGTTGGACAGCAGTGGTGCAGGCTCCAGATGGCTGCAGCAAGAAGGGCCCAGCAGTAGTGAGGAGTAGGCAGCCACTTTTCCCCCACACCTACCAGCAGCTTCTGCCCAGCTGCTGCCACTGCTCAACACAGGCAGACTGTCTGGAGCAGGCACAGGGTGGGACAGGGCCAGAGCTGTGCATGCACTTCCAGCTGGTCCAGAGCTGGCCCGCTTTAGCCAGGACAAGTCTGGAGCAGCTGTGGGATGGGCTGGGGTCAGGCTGAAGCTACGCGCTCAGCTGCTGCTGGGTGCTGGTGGCAATGAGGAACCACAGGGCATGCGGGCTCCGGGCTGTTGCAGGGGCAAAAGGAGGTGCTGACCAGCCCACGACAGCTCCCTAGAACTGCCTATATGGTCCATGGGCACAAATAATTGCCTACCCCTGCCTTAGAGAAATTAATCAGTCTGTGAAAATATCAGATTAACAAGGAAGCATGTTATAAAACTAAAATCCCACACTGAAAATTGGGAGGAGTCGATCATTGTGATTCAGAGATTGCCTACATTTTTCCTTCCCAAATGGTAAGAGTATGTTCTCTGTTTTTTATAATTAGGCACATAGGAAGAGGGAGAAAAAAACAGGGGGGGGCTAAGTGCATGCACGTGTAGCCCCTAGCAGGGAAGTCTGTGGGGAAAGGGATGGGGTGAAGGGAAACGGGCGGGGGGGAGGGAATGGAGCTGGGACTAGGGGTGGCACAGGCCCTGCATAGCCAGAGTGGGATAGGGGGTGGGACAGAGCTGTGGCTTGTCCAGGGGGTGCAGGGAAGGGGGGGGCAGCTCCTACTGCTGCAGGTGCCCCAGGAGCACATGTGCTCCTGGATCTGCACAGGGAAGGGCAGTGCTGGGAGCGGGGGTTGGGGGAGCTCCAGCAAATCTTAGGGTAGCTGCAGCCCCCCTCCT